GTCTCCCTCACTGAGACGAGACAGTACACTACACTAGACTGCCCCTTCACTCTTCGTCACACAGCCCTTACCACTAAGGGTAGCCTGCAGGCCAATCGCGAGGGTTCCTGTTTGACTTACCATGCGCTCTCCGACAAGTTTGCACTCCCCACGTATGCCCAGACTGCGCCGTCGTGCGCCCGCTCACGGACGAATATGGCTTTGCTATGTAGTAACAGGCCACCTCTGGCGCTTTGGCAATCTCGCATCAATTCTCGCGGAAACGTTGAAGAATTCCACCATTTCTCTTGCATGCAAATGGTGCCGGCAGACTAGATCACGTAAAATGAGCATACGGGGAAAATACATGGGGACTTGGGCAGCAGGATCGACCGGTAACGCGGCGATCCCGGCCGGCACACAACTTACAGATCTACCGCCCCGGCTACTAGAAACGGTCTTTTCGGTAGGGAAATAGATGCGGAAATGATGCTGCAATTGGAGCGGCTCCTTGTCAATGTCGACCGGTCTGGAACCACCCAAGCCTGTTTTTGCAGCCTTGCTCTTGGTCATTTTGGACTGCCTAGCTTCGTATTCTTTCATGCCTGAGTCGCCTGCAAGGAGTGCCAGCAATAGAGCGTTAGTATGCTGATCTTTTCACCCTGACAAACCTCAGCAGGCTTGATTGCAACCACACGCACCTTGACAGGCATAGTATATCATCGTTAAGAACCCATGGTTTAGCGATCCCAGTGAAGATGCCTGGGATGACAAATTTGTTAGCAACACCCCTGGTCACCGCTCGCCAAGAGCTGGGCAACTTGCTCAGCCAAAAGACCGCGCAGACCACCTACGTACCACATAGTCAATGTCAACGGCATTCTCGGTTGCCAAACCCAAGCTTCGGATAATGCTCCCTAAGCCGCAGTAGCCTAATCGAAAGTCTAAGTCAGCACAATTTTGACTTGCCACGAACATGAAGTCATCGCGTCCCGAGCAGAAGGGGTAGACTGGCCTGTGTGTTGCCAAGCTTCCTTCGTATGGCTGCCAGAGCTATGGGTCGATGTCAGCCTTCAGTCAGGATGTCATCTTATATCGGGCTGCCCTGTTGGCTATTGCTACTGACATGGAATGGACGAAACCATAACGGCTTGTCTCGGAGAAGTCGTAGTTGTCCAGGCTCTTCACCAATTTGTCGTCAAGGCCAAGCGCTCTTAGGAAGCGTCGGAGCTCGGTGCCGAATGATGTCTCGATAGGTGGCCCATTGAGCCGGGGCAGGTCGATCAGAAAGATCATCTAGGTAGAGTCAGCCAGACCATCAAGAATAAGTCAAGTTGGGAGCTCAAACGTTTTCCAGCTGACCCGTCTCTCCCCAGTCGTAAGGAACCAGATTGCCGGAAGGAATTACAATACGGAGGCAACTGCGTGTCGGTGTTAGATGGCTACTGGTAGCTTAAACAGTTGAGATCCAACTTACCCTTCATACTTCAAGATCTGCAACTTGGAATGCATGTACCCGCCATGCATTGGCGGAAAGCAAAATTTGATGAGACTACCGGCCGGAATGTTTGAGCGGATGTTGGCTTTCTAGAATATGAAGCGCAAGCTCAGCACTCGACCAAGAAATGTAAGACAGTCTTCCAACATACCTCGGCATCGTTATTTGCGTAGGCGACTAGAAGCATCTTGGTGTTTCGGACATTGACCTTCGAGAGAAGCCATTCCTCGTCCCATTGGAAGGATGAGAGCACGGCCAGCTGTAGTTTGTCCTTCTGAAGGACTTCCTCAATCTTGATATCTTCCCCGTTTCTGGGGCAGCCGAAGGCCCAAGTGCGCTTGAACGCTCCTTTCGAAAATGGTAATTCCAAAGGATTTGCGGCTGGTGTTGCAGATATTGCTGGTGTCGCTGCCTTGGACTTTGCGGTACCAGTAACCTTATGGCTCTCAGAGACTCCAGGGCGTAGCAACTTTAAGCTCTGTGAGGATTGGGTATCAATACCAGCCTCTGCAGCTGAACGCTTCTTCAGTCTTGCTATACGTTCCTCTTCCATTTTCTTGCGGTCGAGGGCCAACAGCCCTAACGGGCCTGTGTTAGTGGCTGACGATGTCGGAAGCTTCGTTGCAGATGACGCAGCCTTGGTTCTGTCGTCGTTGTCGAATTCCTCTTGCTGTAAAGAGAGTGCAATGGCTAATGCGAGATCTGGATCGTCATCTGCGCTTGGCGACTGGGGTCGCGCCCGATTATTGTGCGAACTCATAATTGCTCGCGAGGTTTTGCTGCCTTTGGCTGTACTTGCTGGCTTGAAAAGACAGCTGCAATTCCCAGCGAGCTTTTTCGATCTTCCTGGAGTTGAATTTTTGCAAACAATTTAGTGCAGTGAAGCGTCGGCACTAGGACCACTTCGTCGTGATGATGGTGAACATTGGACGACGTCAATTACACGGCCGACGTGTAACCAAGACCCATCTTTCCGTTCGTCAACTCGCGAAGTCACGTGCTCTCGTGTCTGATCTTTCCTTTTGGTGCATGTGCATTTTTCTACATATCCACGTTTGAATGGCACTTATGCTATCAGCTTTACAGCGATATCGAAATTGGGTCGGTTTGTTACATCCAGTCCCATGGGTGTGTTGACAAGTTGATTCCTAAAACAACGGCGAAGGTCGATATATTGATTGAAGATGTCATCTGTCTCAAGTATCTCTTTTGGAGGGGCTATTGCTATCAACCTCGAAAGCATGACCGATGTAGGCATCAGATTCGCGTCGAACAATGCATCGCACTTCAACCATGATGTTTTCTAACTTTCAAAATCTCACGTAAACTTTCGAATATTCTGCTGGTGTACAGAACATTTTCGTTTCTTTGTCGTTTGTATGATCTACCACGTTTTGTCCACTATCTGTAAAAACCCTTCGGCTTTGTCGTGCTGTTGTGGTTTATCGACACCAACTATTTGCTACATCCGGGCTGGCAGTAGTCGCAGAGGCGATTGATACGAATCAAATGCTACCATGTCTGATAACCCATGCAACCCCGAATACCGCAAGAAAGTGACCAGGAAGTTCCATCTACATCTTTCGGTGGCTCTTCTTGCCCAAGTGTTGCTACTTTGGATTGAGAACCGAATGACTTGGTTGAAGACAGCGTTGGGGCAAGCGATGTTTGGAATTCCGGCTGAGTATAAGAAGTTGTTTTGAACACTTTAGATAAAAGGAGTCTCATTGACGAAAGCTGAATGATTGTGAAAATGCCCCTGGTCGAGAATATCGTCTATTATGGGTTGCTGGTACTCAAACCCAATGACCAAGGTACAGGATCTTCCAGCTTGGGATCGATACTTCTTATGCCCTGATCTCGTGGATGTTTGATTCGGTAACTCATTATCTTGAGCATGCTGACGTCTATCATTCCGACGGAAGCCCAGAACAAGCGGATTGAACAACACTGATGGAAACGTTCGTGGGCCTAGTATCTCGCAAGCCACACTGGCGGAATGGACGAGATAGACGGCACTTCAGCTCCTAGTCGGACTATATCTTATGCCTCTCAAAGTAAGGTGTAAACTTCTCTCGCTAGTTCACTTCTGTCAGCATCGTGTCAGGCTAGACGGAGCCATCATGCTGATCCCTATACATTTATTGCGGTCTGATGCTGCAACCAACAGAACCCTCAGGGATCCTTTTCGGGCGTTATCATACTCTTACTCAGACCCCAGGATACAAAACCTACATATTGGAGATGAGGACAAAGTTCTTTCCGCTGTCTCGGCGCCGAATGAGTAGGCTTGTCTTAACAAGTATGTCATGACGCCAACTGACGTGCATTCGTGAAAACTACGTAGCGGTTGATTCATCCAGCATAATACGAGTGTCTGTATTTGTATTACAATGACGATGTAGCCTTTGGGCGATAGTTCTGTAATAGCATCAATATTTTACAATTAGCGGTCAGGGGACGTCTTTCAGGCTATCTCCCATGTTGAACCTGAATGCGAAACTTACCAAAGAGATTTCAATAAGACAATCCCTTTAAAACTCACAGACAGACTGATGCTACTGGAGCGTCGCCCTTATTGTCGCCGGCTTCTCTAATGCACCGCCACCGCCGGAAGACGGAAGGACAAGGAGTTATGTATAAACATGTATTTGACGAACGTTTCTTTCAGGACGGAGAACTGGCACCGTAGGCAATCAAGGCGATCGCCTAGAATATACACATAACTAGAGCTTGGCAGCGCGAGCCGGGTTTTGACAGGAGCGTACCACTGCCCCCTTGATGCGTTATGCCAGGGATGATGTTCCCCTAGTGAGAGATCATAGAGGTGGTCCATTGTGCTGCGGCTCCTGGCTGATGGATGAGCTTAGAGCGACACGAGAATCAGTGACTTAGCCAGGAAGTTAATTGCTGGGGCAGCCGTAGTCTCACCCTCAGGGGCTTCTAAAAGCTTTCCGCTGCTCATCCGAGTTTCTAGTTTAAAAGTCTAAGGTTGTGCTACGTCTATATACCGTCATCCGACTTGGTCTAAAGATAAATGCTGATATCCGACATTAACTTGCTCAGTAAGTTGAAGAAGCAGAGAGGCTTCGTCACAAGAAAGGGGCCGGTGACGTTGAATATTGGAAAAGGGAGGCTAGGGAATATTGCATCACAGGTGCTGGTTGGAAAGTCCACAGTGAACTGTTACATAACAGACACCCCAGATTGGCCATGTATAGGTAGGGACATGTTAAAGGGCTGCGCGGTAGTCTGCTCAAGTAGCATAACCACGGCACTTCACCAAGGACAGAAACATCGCTAGTACATTGTTTACAGAGAGCTCCCTCTCAAACTATTTTGATACTGTCCTGTTTGGTCGGCCGTCCAAGTATGCCAAAAGTGTAAAGGATTAGATCAGAGCTGGACCACCAACGCCACCAAGTATATATCTTGATAGTCGTCTAATTCGAATGGATACAAACATGATCGAACATGAAAGATGGAAACGGAATATGAATTGGTCCTAACTGAAAAGAGAACATCAACATCGCTTTCGGGTATCAAGTAGAATCTCAGGTAGGCACGTAAAGCAACTGCGAGCTCCTGCCGCTTTCCCGCTTTCCCGCAACCCCAAGACACCCAGCAAGACAAAGTAACAAGTCATATCAAATAGAAGCAGCGCAGACTCTCATTCCCATGCCAGATGAGTTCCAGTACTCCTGCGTCTTCCAAAGAGGAACAACGGCACAAAGCGAACCAGCCAAGTGACGCCCCAAGTACCAAGTGTAATGAACTTTCTTGTTGTTTGCAATCGACAGACAATGGCCGCCTAAGAGTACAGAGGACGTTCTCCCGATTGTGTAGATGACATGGGCGACTCGAGTTTCAGAATGCGGCGCAGGTTGTCCTCCATGGCGCGGAGATCGGCAGATTGGTCGCCCTGAGGGGCCGGGTTATTTCCCATGAAGCCGTTATGGACGTACTGAGCTGGCGGAGCCGAAGCTGGTGGCTGGGCAGCCGAAGCCAGACCTTTGCCCCCAAAGAGATACTTCTTCAGAGCTTCAGAGCGATCCTCGGCAGGCGAGACCTGCGTAGGTCTCGTGCCATTCGGAGACTGGTTGGGAGCGGCACGGGCAGCGCGGATGCGCTCTTGGTATGGGGTGGAGAATGCAGGGCCAAGAGGCTTTCCCGAAAAGCCGTCAAGCTCATGGGCCGAGATTCCACTAGATGATCTCTGGAGAGGCATACGGTGCCCAGGGTGAGTGTTGTAAGGTTTTGCAACGAAAGGGCCATGGTTGGCATCCCTGGGCGAAGGGGCAGCGGTTGACTCAGAACCGTCTGTTTGAACGGACGAGTTCAACGAACTCGATCGCCGCGCCTGTTCCTTTTCAGCTCTATCGGCTCTGAAAATGGCGTCAAGAGGCGACTCGTGGGCCCTAGGTGCGGTCGCAGGATGCTGAGGTGTCGGGCGTTGTCGTTCGGTTGCCGGTGGGGACGGCTGCTGTTGGGCTTCCGGCCTGGGTCCTGGAGATTCGGGAATGGACTTTGAATAGAAGCTGGGCATAGGTAAGGCTGATGGAGCAGGCGAAGCATGGAAAGTCGCGCCAGCGAAAGCGGCCGCTGCCGACTTGTTCACCGGGATGCTCTGAGGGGTCGAGCGGCGGTTTTGGCGGGTGACGTCAGGCGAAGCTACGGTATTGGGGTTCCTAGCCCGAGGTTTGTTTCGCGAGCGCTGTTTGGAGCCAGGCTGGTTGCCGTTGCCGGACTGCGGCTCAGGCGAGCCAGAATATGACTTCTGGGGGGTATGAGGATGACCGGCTTGATCGAAGGCCAAGGTTGAGACATTGGCGACGTCGGTCTCTGATGCGTACATCTTCTGTCCAGCAGCCTTGCCGCCACCGCCACGATTTTGTCGGCGACGAGTGGGCGTTGGCTTTGCTTGATTTGTTGTTTCTTGCATTCTGAGTCGTAGGAATGGGATAGTAAGTGTCGCAGCGACCGCAGGATAGAAACTGGCGGCAGTCAGGGTCGACAAAGGGGAAGAAGTCCTAGACAATGGTCGCTGGAAGGTAAAGAATGCCTTAATTGAGAAGGTAAGGATATGATGGTGGCGAAAGGAAGGTATCTGTCGGTCGCGAGGCTTGGATACGCTGGCTGTAGCAAGATTAGATATGGTGGGTTTTCCTTCTTCCGATGGTACTGTTTTTGCTACGTTCAAGCGCCAGGAGGATGGTCTGTTTGAGGAAGCGGATTGGGAGAGAGTAAAAGCGAAAAGTAGAAGCCAGAGTCTGATGCAGGAAAAGCGCGTGTATATTCTCTGCTCATGTTGCCGTACAAATGAGTGACGGGCTGAAGAGTCGAGTAAGGTGACGATGGCAAGAATCGGGGGAAGAGCAAAGCCACAGCATGCGGCGAAAGAGGGGAGAGGGGCTTAAGTAACCCCGGTGCTAGGAGACCTTGAGCTGAGTGGAGATGTTGGGTGAGTGCGTGTGTGTGCCTTGCCAAACCTGCCCAGATTGGGCGTGTTCGCTGAGGAACCTGCCCGACTTTCCCTCCTCCTGTCCGAGGCCCAGAGGTATCTCGCCATACTAGCAAGGCGCGTTGGGTACCTACCTGAGGTGCCTGTCCTACCTATCCATACGCAAGTAGGTAGCGTAGCGTAGCGCAGCGCGGGCGGTGGCAGGTATGTCATCCCGTCCCCTCAGTGTCACTGCCAATCCCATCCCATCATGGATCCCATCCAAGTACCTTTCCCATTATCCCTCCTTATCTAGTTGCCCCTTACAGGCTACGCGTGGCTCAGTGACCTCCCGTAAGAGAGAGGTGGATCTCCGTGTTGACCCCTTCACGTGCGCTTCCAGCCTTACTCCCCGTCTTCAGCTCCGGACGGCTCGCATTACCTCACCATCCTTGCTTCTATCGTCGAAATTGGCAAAAGGTTGCTGATACGAGTCACGGCCCTGGACTTTTGAGAAGAGCTGCGTCACCCCGATTCCGCAAGAAAGCCCCAAAGTCAGGTAGAAAGCAGAGGAGGGATCCAAGACATGCTTGATTGGTATCATGGAGCAACTGCAAGCCACTCAAGTCAGGCCGCTCACGTTGTAAGGTACCTAGATCCAATGCCTGAGTACGATTGCCCAGTCAGAGGCAAATGCTGCAGTTCCTACTTGGTGTGACTGTCACTGAATCCCCGCCGTCTTCCAAATTCGCCTCCCTCACTCCGATTGTGTTAGATGCTCAAAATCGCTGCAGGACTCTCTACTAAAGGGACTCAACCTATTCTACATGCTGCCATGGGAAATGCTTCCAGAAGTTGTCTCAATCCCTGAGACTTTGTGCTGACCCATTGCTGGGCCCAGTGCGCACTTTGGTAACGTGAAGACTGTCTTGAGCCGTAGCAAGCTTAGGTAATCTGCTCGCTTTCCCACTGTTTGCTATGGGCTTGCTACTCCCAGGTAGTCCGGGCAGGTCTACAGGGCACATTAGGGTCACAGGCACCTAAGCACCGAAGTCCCCCGGCCCTGAGGGGCAGGCAACGACCGCTTTCCCGCACTGTAGGGGAGGTAGGTCATTCTACCTTACGCCTCATGAACCCCGCCAAGGCAGGCGTGGAATCAGGCGCCTTACGGACCGGGGCCACTCCCGCTGGCAGCCTTTCCTGCCCGCCATTCGCATACATCACCAACCTAACCACAGAAATCCGGCCTGCAAACGAGACACGACAAAGGCCGTAATAACCCGTCAAAACTACTTTTTCTTCTCTTAAAATATTGAGGAGTTGGTTTGAGTCATCTTTGTAAGAAAATCACCCGCGACCCGGAAGGCTCGACATAGGCTAGCCTGCCCGCTCGCAACCCTTTGGACCTCATTGATCGGACTTAGCTGACCACCTACAACGACACAGAAAAGGTACGCTTCTCACGCCTTCTCCGCAAGTCGTCCATACTACCGAACCGCTGCTTCTTCTTCGACATTTAATATATCATCCTGACTTTGACCGGTATCGCTCAGTTGTGCAGAACTCAAACTTACCGCCTCAACCGTAGCCGGAATCGTAGCTCGATTCGATATTCCACAATGGCCGATGTCGATATGACGGATGCGCCCGGCACTGCCGTCGCCAAGAAGGCCGCCGACGGCGAGAGCAGGCCGGTGGACGCGAAGAAGCGCTTCGAAGTCAAGAAGGTGCGTAGATGGAGGATTTGGATAGCTTGACCCAAGCTTACAAGTGCCTCTAGTGGAATGCTGTTGCCTTGTGGGCATGGGACATTGTCGTCGACAACTGCGCTATCTGCAGAAACCACATCATGGACCTCTGTGAGTTGGACGCTGACATGCAAACCCGCTGTTTCGCCCTTACGCATGCTAATAACACACAGGCATCGAGTGTCAGGCAAACCAAGCCTCTGCAACGAGTGAGGAGTGCACTGTGGCCTGGGGTATCTGCAACGTATGTTTTCTGTACTCCATTTGCCTACTCTCGCTAACCTACGTGCAGCATGCATTCCACTTCCATTGTATCTCACGTTGGCTCAAGGCCCGACAAGTCTGTCCGCTGGACAACCGCGACTGGGAGTTCCAGAAGTATGGGCGCTGAGATGGCGCAAGGCAATGGTGCGAGGATCTCGGTCGATGGATACGCAGCATTATGTGTCATGGCTACGCAGAATGAGGATACAATAAGTGATACTCTCCTGACGAGCGAGGACTGCGTCCAGCTGGCGGAAACAGCTAGCCAGAGAGGCCCTCTGGGGTGGGCACAATTACAGATGCAGGAATATACATCACAATGACTTGATGAACAATTGACGTCTTTGGTTCCGGCTATCCCGACTTCCCTATTGTAACCTCGTTTCGTGTCCCGGAGCCGGACGCGGATCCAGGTTCTAGCCACTTGACTGGATGTTGCTTGAAAAAGGGCCAAGGAGGCACGACAAGGAGGAATGTGAGTACGGTTCCGCCTAAGCCAACGTAGACTGCGAGCTTGATGTCTTGCAGAATGTATCCGATGATGAAAGCAAGAACCTACAGGGAAGGGCAAGTCAGCATGGAGTGCTTTCAAGTTTGATATCGAACAATTGTCAGAACTTACTCCAGATGCCGAGAGAAGTAGAGTCGCCAGGAGATCTGCCAGTTTCTGGCCCTCAAAGTCCTGTAGGGAACACATCGTTAGCGTCTGGGAGTTGGAGATGCGTCAAAGAAGCCGAAGGGGAGGCAGGTTTCCACCGGGTGACGTACGATCTGGCCCTCAGCGATATCGCGAACCTGGTCGAGGATTTGATCGGCCATTGTAATTGCGCCCGCGAAACTGTCCAAAAGCGTTGTTCTTTTTGGTTGTTGGCCGGTTAATGATTGGGAGGGGGGGGGGGGGTTTGCGCTGGAAGATGGATTGGCGTGGTGAGCAACCTCTTTGCCAAGTCGTTGGTGCAGACTGTCGGTCCGTAGATGTGTATTCGAATATTTGGTTCGGTCTGCGATCTCGAGGTGATCAACAATGGATGATCTGGTATTATGGTGGCAGGAGCAAATGGAACGTCTCTAAGTAAGGCACCTAAGGTAAGGTAAGGTTAGGTAGGTAGGGAACAGGTATGCCGTTTCCGAAGCAAGTGAAGCACGGACCCTAGTCCTCAGGTCTGGTTCGCGAGCTCACTTTCACTCCGTGCA